TCATTTGTGTTTTTTTTGGCCAAAATCCTAATTTTTAATCCATCAAAATAAATCGTTTATTATTTTAGTGGTCACAAAGGTAGAGTGAAATGCACGCGCGCGTGAGGAAGAATGTGCAAAACGTGGCATTGCGTTAATTTCCGAGAAAAACTTGTCTGCTTCTTTCATGGTTTGATCAACACAATCTCCGGCGAAGAAAGAGATGAGCAGTACGGCAGGGAAGCTCGTGACTTCGAGATCGGAGCTCGAATTGGATCACCCTAACATCGAAGATTACCTTCCTTCTGGTTCCTCCATCAACGAGCCTCGCGGCAAACTCCGCCTGTAATTTCTGTTTTGTCTCTCTTTTGGGTCTATGCATTTTGTGTAATGGTGAAGAAAATTTCTTTGATTGAACATTGGAGGTGTAATTGCAGGCGTGATTTGCTCGACATATCACCAACGCTCACTGAAGCTGCTGGTGCCATTGTTGATGTAAGATTGATATCAATTTTCGTTTGGAATTAGAAAGTTATATAACATTATTGATTTATCTCTCTTGCTTGGTATGATTATGTTAGGACTCGTTCACGAGATGTTTCAAGTCGAATCCTCCGGAGCCTTGGAACTGGAACATTTACTTGTTTCCATTATGGTGTTTTGGGGTTCTTGTTAGATACTGTATTCTCTTTCCCTTGAGGTCTGGTTGGTTCTATGCAATGGAGAGTATTGGGTTCTTGTTCAAAGCTCAAAGTTCAGATTTTTAACATGTGTGTTTGGACTGAGCAGGTGCATCACTTTAGCTTTTGGGTGGTTTATTTTCCTTTCATCGTTTATTCCTGTACATTCTCTTCTCAAAGGTCATGATAGGTTGAGGAAAAAGATAGAGGTGGGTTTGCTTTTCTCTGTTTCTTGTTTGCTCAACCACTTTTATCTTGATGTTGAACTTGGTGTTGTGTTTTCTTGTATAACCAGAGGGTCTTGGTGGAAATGATATGCAGCTTTTTTGTCGCATCGTGGACAGGAGTTGTTAAATATCACGGGCCACGGCCTAGTATCCGTCCAAAGCAGGTTGTGTTTCCTTTTAAGAAACTTTTGGTTCTCAAGTTTGTATCTCCGTGATAGTTGCTTATTTTATGATTGGGGTTTAATAGGTCTATGTTGCCAACCATACTTCCATGATTGATTTCATTGTCTTGGAGCAGATGACTGCTTTTGCTGTTATAATGCAGAAGCATCCAGGTTGGGTTGGTAAGTCTCATGCGCGCACAAGTGTGCTTATGACCTTTTTAATAGGCTTGTGATTGATTCAAAAACGAGTTATTGGTTTGCCTTTTGTAAATATGAAGGGCTTCTGCAAAGCACAGTAATGGAGAGCGTAGGATGTATCTGGTTCAATCGTTCTGAGGCAAAGGATCGTGAAATTGTAGCGAGAAAGTATGCATGATTCTTAATCCCTTTTAAGTTTCATTACGTAATCTACTCATATTAATCATGGGAACGTGGAGCACAAAATTCAGGTTAAGGAACCATGTCCAAGGAACTGACAATAATCCTCTTCTCATATTTCCTGAGGGGACATGTGTAAATAATAATTATACAGTAATGTTTAAGAAGGTAAAGATGGACCTAACTTTGATGTGATTTTGCACTCCTACTATGCTAATTGTTTCTGACTCGCTTCATGACAAAGTTCAGGGTGCTTTTGAATTGGACTGCACTGTTTGTCCAATCGCAATCAAATACAACAAGATTTTTGTTGACGCCTTCTGGAACAGCAGAAAGTAAGGGTTATACAACTGTTTGATTTACTTTTCAACTGCGTAGTCGCGATTGAAACAAATTTTCTTGGGACATTTAGTTGATAACAAAAGGTATTGCATGCTCTTTGCAGACAGTCATTCACTATGCACTTGTTGCAACTCATGACATCATGGGCTGTTGTGTGTGAAGTGTGGTACCTGGAACCCCAAACTATAAGGCCAGGTGAAACAGCAATTGAGTTCGCAGAGAGGTAAAACAGTAAAACACTCTGTTTTTTTTCTTTTTTTCTTGTGATTTCGTCAGAGAAGGCTATATACTAACAAGTTTTTATAAGAATGTTATAATACTTGGCATGACATTCTTTTGCGTCTAGTAGTTAGTCTAACATTTGTAAGATCTACTTTACTTACTTCTCACAGAGTCAGAGACATGATATCTCTACGGGCAGGTCTCAAAAAGGTCCCTTGGGATGGATACTTGAAGTATTCGAGGCCAAGCTCCAAGCATAGTGAACGCAAGTACGTTCAAACCTGTTTCTATTTCTTTAAATCTGTCTGTCACTATTCCCTGGAACTAGATGAATCTCTAAGATATGTCTAGTTCTCTGAGTTTGTTTTGTCATGAATAAGACTTGATGCTGATATGACTTTCTTTCTTTTTTTTTGGGGTCAAATATGACTTTCTTTTAATTCACAGGCAACAGAGTTTTGCGGAGTCAATCCTGGCTAGACTGGAAGAGAAGTGAGTGTAAAGATCATATCATGATAAAACAAACTCAGGCCTCATGTGCTTTAGTTCTATATATTTTTCAATATAATATATTTTGTGAATCTCTCAACAGACAAAACTCACTTTTGAATCTTGTTCCTTTGCTGATATGATACTACACTGCAAATACATGTCTATTGGTTAAGTCCCTTATATCTTTCAACTTTGGATTCACGACCTGAAACATGTTCTTTTAACATCTGTTTATGCTTCAGAAATTGTTATCCATGTTTGTACATTCACCAACAATTTTTCATGCTGAATATCTTTACATATTGGACAGGAACAAGAATTTTGAAATTTCAAAACGACAAAAGCCAACAAAACGTAGCAAGATGAATTATTTGGAACATGTTTTCTTGATTGAAAGTTTATTTGACGAGTTACGTCTAAAGAATGTATGAAACTTGAGGAACAAAACCATATAACCGTGGATCATACCCATATATTTTTGGCAACACAAAATCTGTAGCAGGAAATTGATGATTTATGCAGAGAGGAGGCACGAGTAATTTGTCAAAGTCACTCTAGATTTGCAACGACCGCATCGACAACCTCTTGAGTCGTGCTTTTTCCACCAAGATCTTTAGTCCGACACTTTCCTTCAGCAATGACTCTTTTCACTGCTGTTTCAAGCCGGTCAGCAAATGACGGAAACTGAAGGTGTCTAAGCATCATAGCTGATGAGAGAAGCAAAGCCACTGGGTTTGCTTTGTTTTCCTGTACGATCTTGTCTTTACCTACATTTCCTGCTGAAGCACCTTGCTCAAAGACCGCATGGTCAGCCCCAACATTTCCTGTTTTGGCGTTTAAAGTCACAGACACAAATTTCAGACCAATATTGTACCTCGAGAGGGGTAATGAGACCATCAGTACAAGCTATTTTTACCTCCAGGCATGACTCCTGTACCTCCAGCGATACCAGCAGCAGTGTTCGCAACTAGGTTACCGTAGAGATTGGGTGTTACCTGCAAAACATTAAATAAATAAACCGTTGC